TCTTGGGATGGCAGCCTCAATGAAGATCGTAATCAAGAAGCATCACCACCGTTGGGTCTGTACACGTAGCCTGCTCCCACACGGATGGCTGCCATCAGATGTACTGGAAAAGTGAGACCTTTCCCCTTCACGAGAAACATGCCTGAAGGGAGAAATTCCCAAGTATTTCCAAAACACCTTTTCTCATTTCCTAGCTATTCTCTTTTGTTAGACCACATTGCCGTAAACATCTTTTATTTCACTGATGTTCACTGCTACAATCCAGACTCCACCAGAGTACATGCAGTGACTACTTTTAACTTCAGGAGATTTGGCTGAAGTCTTTACCTTTCCATCAACATCTCCTATAACCCCATCTCCCCAAAAATTTGCACCATGAGATGAACAACTTGTAATAATTTTCCCCTGTTAGAGTTGGAGCTTGATGATAAGGGCTGTTTTAGAAGCAATCTTTGGTTGAAAGCTTGGGTAGATACTACAGCAATTTATGGATGATTTATTATACTTTAGGCAGCTGCACTGTATTTGGCTTGGCTTAGCTTGACTTGAGTAAATCCATCAGTATTTTCTGGGTTCCATGAAATAATTGCTGTAAAATGCAAAATTTCAGCTTTTCAGAATTTGGGGGTTGTCACAACAAAATGATGTCTCCCTACCAGCATTGCCACCACTGACTCAATGTGCTCCATTGTTGGCAGTAGCCTCCTGCTTTTATTCTAGAAAGATGAAGGGTCCCAAAAGAGAAGTTTTGCTCTAGTTTATAGAATTGGTCCCATTTCAGAACAAAGCTCTTATCATTCCAGAGCAGTTAAGGCCATTGCTAGGCAGAATTTCACAGATTTCCAGATCTGAAACTTTCTTTCATGTATGAGTTATGGGACTTGGTGAGCCCAGAAAATCATGCAGGCTGGTGCTGACGTGGAATAAGTTAGGAGAAAAACCTTAGTATTTTGTAAAAATGTTGTTGACAAATCATTAGTTTGAGCTTCAAAAGATGCTGGGATAAAAATGGAATTTTTTTTTGATGTTTCATGCTGGAAAAAAAAAATAAAAATATTGGCTCGTCCCACATCTTATACAGCCTGAATCAGAAATGGGCAAAAGTCAGGAGTTTGCAGCTGCGATACAGGAATTTCATTTATCATCAAAAGGAGAAAGAGCTCCTTCATGCTGAGATCAGAACTGGGCTAACTGCACCATTTCCTCGTCCAGCCTTTGTTAGGGTGTTCCAGAGGCTGGGAGCAGTGATTTATTCCATCGCTTTACCCGAACCCTAGTAAGGCATGTGGATCATGATGGGGCCAGGCCCCATGGCTTTTTGCCCTTTTTTTTTTTTTTTTTTTTTTGGCCTGCACTTGTACACCATCACGCTCAAGGGTGTCCTGGCCCAGAGTACTGCAGTAGTAGTCATGATGATGCTGATAATGGTAAAGAAAGCAATCAAGGTGAAGTTTGTAGGTAGAGATGAGAGATATATATATATATTTTAAGCTTACTGATATATTTGCGAAAATCAGATAGCTTTCAGTGACATGAGACCCTCTTCAGGTCTGGAATAGCAGCACTGGACTTCAAAGCTACATGTAGGATGAGAACAGCTTCTCAGAACTTGGGTCGATAGGTCTCAGATCATTTCCAACACAAAACCTAGTGGGTATTTGTGGCATAGAGGCGTGCTGTTAGTCACAGAGAAAACAGTGATAAGTTAGTCATCTTCAGGGGCAAAGAGAAAGCTAATTATTTCTAAAATATATCTATATGCACATAAAGAATGTGTGTATGAGTATATACGTATGGTGTATATAAAAAGAAAGATTTTGATATTATGACCTATAATTGTCAGTCCCTTATGTGTAACTAATCTCTCTAACATTTTGCATATACAATAATACAGTAAGAATCTTGGTGATCTCTCGATCTACTTTATACCAGCACTGCTGCTTATGTTTCTGAACTGGTGGAAAACCAAAATGTTCTCAGTAGCACTGAAAAGGACCAGTGCTTCATTACTTGTTATTAAATAACAACATTGTCCCGACTGCCGAGGCTGTCCTGGACAATGTGCCATTGCTCCAGCAGAACTGCTCCAGCCAAGCACTTGGCCTGGCTGGATGTGTCCGGAGGGTGCCACCACCACCCCTCAACCCAGGGCTGCGCTGAGCTCTGTCACTCAACACAACATCACGAGCAGATGGAGTTAGGCATCTTGGTGTCACAGCGTGGCCGCACAGCTGCCCTGTAGCCTACAGGTGCTTGGTGAACCCACCACTCCTCTCCCAGACCCGCTTCCCAACGTGTGCTCTATGATTTGGCTACATAACCTCCACGTGCCCGGCGGCACACGGGAGTAAGGACTTGCAGTGGTGTGTTGCTATAGCACCAAGCACCACGGTAGGGAGGGATGCTGTGCACCAGCTGCATCTCCCTGCATGCCTGTGGCTGGTGAGGAGGGGGCTGGGATGCAAGAGCAAGGATGGAAAGAAGAGAAGCTCAGCCCCTTTTGCACATGCGTGTGCAGAGACACGCACACGAGGAGGTTTAGGACAGCAGCTCCGTCATGGGGAGGTGGAGTTGGGGATGGGAGCGCGCGCATGTGTGTGTGTGTGCGCGCACTGGGGGCACAGGCAGGGAGCAAAGCAACTGCCCGGAGAAGGTGACTGCGGGAGGGAAGGGGAGAGGGCTACAATTGGTACCAGATGCCCTCAGAAGCTAATGACCTGACAAACGCTGTGCTCATAAAACAAATTCTTTAAAAAGGAAGCAAATGGAAATATAAGCTAGTGAAAGAATTTGCAGCAGCTGCCCTGAAACCATTTCTCACTTCATAAACAGGTCTGCATTGAAAAAACAGCCCCTTTCTTCTTGTTCTCCTTTGTGGTCCCCTCCGGTGCCCACCGGCTCTTTCAGGGCTGCGGCCTGCAGGTTTCCACCGTGTCTTTGGCTCAGTGGACTTGTCCAGAGTCAACAGCACATTGCGTTCCCTTAAAGTCCTTGTCGGCACCAATTTTTTTTTTTTTTTTTAAGAAGAGCAAAGGCTGCCTCTGCCTCCCCTGGGTGAAACACAGTGCACAAAAACTGTCAGCAGCCCTGTGTGAAGCAGGGAGCAAAGGGGAGGCATTCGGGTGCAGCTTCCCTCCCTTCTCTCCCCAGTTATCACCTGAAGCTGCAGCACCTCTGCTTCAGGAGGGCTGATGTCAGGTTTTGCACCTATATCACTTGGTAAAAGATAAAGCCTGACTGCCAGATAACCAGGGCATTTCCTCTGGGAGCTGTTGTGTCAACCCCATGTCTTGGCCTCATTCCACCCCAGGCAATTAATCTAGTGGCTGCATTTCACTGATGGTGACCATAGCCCTCTGGCTGGCACTTCTCTTCACTATGGGATTATTTGTGATGCTTAATTAATCAGTACCTAATGACTGGTCCTTGGTGGGAAGCTGCCAAGGGACAGGTGACACATTGCAAGCTTTCCTGGGACCTCTTGTAACTTGAGATGATGCACAGGGGAGGGTAATTCCTCCTTTGAGCTGTGTCTCACCTTGGTGGCCACAGCTGAGTCTGTAGAGCTGGACAGGTGCATGTTGAGATGGTCTTGATTCCAAAGAGCCTGGCATCAACATGCACAGGCTTGAAATGCTGCGTGAGCCTATGGGAAGAGCAGAGGTGATGAAGACCACCAAAGCAGAGTGGGAAGGTGACAAGAGTGGGGTGGAGGAGACACCTGCAGCATGTCCAGCTTCTCCCTTCCACCACAGGCTGTGATGTAGCTGTATGGACATGAAGCTCGGGCACCTCTGCTGTGAGGTTGTGAGGGGCACTGCACGTAGTTTGAAGAACATCTTATGGATGGTACCCTAATATCTGCAGAGGTTTATTCTCCAGCTAAAACTTTCCTTGCAGTTGGAGAATCTTCCGTGGATTCTCTGATGTCTAATACAGGGTTTGGCATACCTGTTGTCCTTCTATCAGCAGAGGCTTTAAAAAAGTTTTTTCTTCCTGACCATCTGTTGCTGCGAATCTTGTCTTATTCTGCACTAAGGCTGACTGAAATCAAGATGTGGATTCAAAAGTTAGCAGGAAGGAGAAACACCCAGTGTTACTGTCTGGGCTTTGTTGCCTTTGGAAAGCACAGATCTCTTGCTGTCCACTCTTGGTCCCCAAACACTAGTGTCCAAGACACAGGCGTGAGCAGAGTATGTACAGGACGACACATGTGAGTGGCTGCAATCATGCGTGAGTCTAATGGTGTGCTCCCTATGACACTGCAGAGTGCAGTTTCAGGAGATCCGTTGCCACAAGTTCTCTGGTGTCCAGTATGATTTGGGCATGTTGGAGATGAGAAATTGTCATGTGGTAGAGACCAGCTTGCTGCCGGAGAAGCTGCAGCCCTTTCAGGAAGGTGCTACAATGATTGCTGTTTGTAGCTTTACTCCTTGTGCGTTCAGGAGTGCTGCTTGATAGGACCATCTGATATCAACTTTCCTACTTCGGCCATGGAAGAGTTGTGGCTCTGCTGGATATGCTGTCTGCCTGCCCTCTCCCTGTCACCTCCCTCCTCTCACTCTCTTGGTCCACGTACACCGAGCACCAAGGGGCCCTTTGGTGCCAGACTGTGTGCAGGCTCTGTGCAATGCATCCTGCGTGCTCTGAGGCAGAGGAGCTGGAGTTAGCCCCACCAGACAGCATGGATTTTGGAAGGAGTGTTGTTGGGCTGTGCCTCCTTTCATCAGCTTGGAAGGACACGATGGTCTGTGGGAGGATGTGGGCTGGGGTTGGGCTGAGGTCCAGCCAAGGCAGAGCTGGGAAAAAGTACCCTCCTGGCATCGTTGTCAGAAGACTTAAAGCCTGGAAGAAGCTGGGGCTGAGGGGTAGGTGTGCATCTCTGTAAGCATCTGTGACCTGCTGAGCAGACCACACGGGTGCCATCTGGAGAGAGCCCATCCTTGCTGAAGAAGTCCTGGGAGCCCACTGGTTGATCCCTTCCCTCTTCTCCTCCATAGCTGCATCCACGGTGCCTGTGCAGGATTGGGAAGCTGCATGCAGCCGCTGCTTGCTCACGCTGCCACCCTCAACTGTACCTCTGATGGCCCAAGGCACATGGCATGCACTGTTGCCTGCGAAAAGGGCTTCGTCCTCCGCTCCAGCAATGGGAAGAGCCTGGGCTCCACGCAGGTGAGTGGACCTCAGGGTGGCAGTGACCTCACAGCCTGTTGGACCAAGTGCTAGTTAAGAAAGATTTAACCACCCTGAGGTGGTTGGAGTGACTCTAGGACACCTTGTTCCTCCAGCCCTGACCTCCTCGCTGCTTTTCCAACAAACTCCAGCCCAGTGGAGGCTCTAGCGCTGGACCTCCATGCTGGTGGCTGTTGGTCCTGCTCTGGAGATCCCTCTCCTTCCCTTGCTGCGCTCCTTCTAGCTCTCCTAGCCCAGTGCTGCCTGCAGACCATGGCTCTGCCAGGCTAAAAGTCACTGCAGGGGATGTCGCAAGCCGGGGTGACGCACTCCTGCAGAGGGAGAGGTAGACGTTTCTGTTCTCTAGATGGGCATTGCTGGGAGGATTAAACATCCCTGGGATGTTTTCTCTCTTAAAGCTGAAGTTAGTGGCTCGGGGAAAAATGAAGTCATTGCAGACTGACTATATTTAGAGGCAGCCGACAGCACGGAGAACTTTTCTTCCTTTGTGTTGCATTGCAGTAACGCTGCCCACATCAGCGGGGCAGCGCAGAGGTCACTATGAAAGAGTTTGTCCCGCTTTTCAGAGAACTGGCGGATGCCTTATAAAAGCCATAAGCCAGCACGGCTCTTAGCGTTTGACGGAGGAGACCTGGGACTGATGTAACCTTGGGAGATGAGCTGTCCTGGGTCTGGGCAGTGACCTTGGCAGGGTCGTGGGCACCGTGTGTCCCATCCTTAGGCTGTTCCTGGAGGGGGAACAGGAGTCTCCGGGGCTGAGCTGGTCCCCGCACCAGCCCGAGTGAGAGTGTGAACTCGCACGGGGTGGACACCGATGGAGGTGAGTCAGGCCATGTCAGCAGGGTGGACCTTTCCTCTCCTCAGAGAGTTGCAAGTGTTTGTGATGCCTGGCAGGCAGGTTTCCCATGCTGCAGCCACCAGTGTTTGCCGAAGGAGAGGTGGGTGCTGGAAAGCCTAATGGGGCAGCTGGTGATGCACCGCTCAGCCCCTCGTCACCAGGGAGGTTATTAATTACACAGCCTCACGGCTTTGTGGGCCAAGGCATGCCCAGGGAAAACAAAATGTTCCCGTTCTCTGAAATGAAACCGCGTAAAATAAATCTGCCTGGGGTGACAGTTTTCCTGCGTTTGGCAGCGAGATGGGAAACTTCTGGATAGAGCTTCACCATGTGGCTGTCACAGCAGATGGCAGCTTGCAAGTGCCCTGCCCTGAGCCCTCCAGTGATGTTACTGGTTTGGCTGTGGGACCCAATATTCTCTCCACCTGGTTGAGCTACACCATGATCCTGCTGCACACCCAAGAGTATCAGACTCAAATTTAGTGATGTCCTTCAGAGCCATCATGTCCAGGTTCAATCAAAATGTGTTGGCTGGGAGGACAGGTCACACATTTGACTGCATGAGCAGCGTGGTTGTACTCAGCTGGTGAAGGGACATCAGGAACAGCTGAAAGACACCTCTTTGGTCTGCTGCCCCTGCCTGAGGACTACTAGGCTGGGGTTAGCAGTCTGGGAGTGGAAATCACAGAATAGTTTGGGTTGGAAGGGACCTTTAAAAGATCACCTAGTCCACCCCCCTGCCATGGCTAGAGACACCTTTCAGTAGACCAGGTTGCTCATGGCACACCATCGCCCACCAACTCTCTTTTGATGAAGTCTGCGGCACATATTGATCATGTTTAGTGGTGGGACCACTGGGGGTTAGGTTCTCATGCAGTCCCCTAGCTGTGTAAGAGGGTCTGTGTAATTAGGATTTGTAAATGAGGTTGTATGAACCTCTGATTTCAGTAGGGTCTGTGGGCTGAGGCATGAGAGAATTTAGGGAAAAACAATCAAGAGGAGAGCTGCCTGTCAACAGCTGAGGTAAGACTTGATCTTGTAGGGGAGAAAACTGCAGCGCACAGAGCTGGGAATAACTTGTAGTTCAGGAAGTTGTAGTGTACCTTGAAAGTATTTTCCTTTTTCCCTTAATGTGCTCTGGCACCACTCAGACAGCGTGCACATAGTTAGCGTTTTCTGGAGGTAAGCAGGTACAGACCAAGAATTAGAAGGTCTCTTGTGCAGGTGGCTTGCATGTTACCCCAAGGGCCGTTCACTGCTTTCACACCCCAAACGTCACCTCGTGAACAAGTAAGAGCTTTGTGACTCGGTGTCCAGAGTGGGGAGAAAGGGCATATGGGGGAGGAAAAATGGGGGAAAGCTCTCCTTGTCCTGAAACTTGGGTCAGCTTTTTCTGCTGTGGTGGCAAACCAGTAGATTAAAGCTCAGGTCTGATGGAGCCTTGCTTTCTCCACAGCAGGAGGTGGTGCTGATGTGCAGCTCAGGATGGTGGGACAGATCTGTGACTTGTGACCCTGTTGACTGCAGTGTCCCTGACCAGTCCCATGTGTACTACGCCGAGTTCTCCTGCCCCAAGGGGACCACCTACCTGCAGAGATGCTCCTTCTCCTGCATCCACCCAGCTAAGCTTCAAGGTACAGTCTGGAGCGCTGAGAAATTTAACCACCCTTTCTGGTGCTACCTTTCCATGTCTGTCCCAAGCTCTTCAAACAGAGCATTGCTACTTTGAATTTCCCAATTATCCTGGCTTCTGCCAGCCACGTGGGCTCTTGAGAGACTTCCCGAAATGCTGGGCATCCATGCCCCTTGAGCAGACACCACAGAGTGGGGATAATTCCCTCTGACTCCCATCCCCTGGCTGGCAGCCTGTATCCATCCACTTCAGGGTGTAGGGATGTCTTCTTCTGATAGCTGGTGAGGTCTGGCAGCCTCCAGTGTTCTGGGGACGAGTGAGGCAAGAAGTGTGCAGGCAGCCGGTGCGGACAGACACAGAGGACTTCAGAGAGCCAAAAGTGGCTCGGTGCCTGGTGGCTGTGGGAAAGCCTGTGGTTCAGGAGGCCTGGGGCTGTATAAAGCCATAGAGACTGATGCCCACAGCTGGGGAGCAGTCTGGGAGATGTTCACCACCCAGACACACAGCAGTCCCCCAGACATGCCAAAGCCTGGCTTTCATTCTGCCGACTCCATCAATAGCCGCAGGAATGTTTTCAAGCCAAGTCAGAGAAAAGAGAGCTACTGTTCCTGTCTATGCAAAGCTGAGCTGGATGGGATTTGGGGGGTAATTGCCTTGACAGCTTCAAGCATTGGGACTTTATGTGAGTTTCCACTAGCGCCTTTGCTCTGAACAATCACATACAACAAATCATTTTAATGGGTGCCCTATTTTACAGAGACATTTATAGCTGAAACGTATGAAAATAATTTACTTTTTTTTTTTTTTTAAGTTAAATCTAAGGACCAAAAACTGCAGGGAATTAAGGTCTCATTTCATGACGGGGCGATGCCGGCAGATCCCCAGTGTGAGCTGATCAAAGGGTAATACACGAACAACGACTCGACAGCCCAAATTCTGCACGAACCAATGCCCGTTGCCTTGGGTGGGTCAGCTGAGGGCAGGGCTTTAATCTGATCTATCACTCACAGCCGCCTCTTGTTCCCGCTGAAGTCGACGGGAGGTTTGCCATGGGCTCCCTCGGTTGGAAGGCATCCCCTCAGTGGAGCGCCCTGGGTGACTTCCAGCGGCTGACACGATGGCTGGTGGTGCTTGGCCAAGGCTGCCGAGCCATGTGGGTAAACTCTTAGAGGTCCAGCTGACTCGGCTGAGCTGTCGAGGCAGGGACGTGCTTGATGCTTGTTCTTCCTGAAGGCTCGCATCCTTACGGCCAAGCTCTCAAGGCTAATAAATACTAAGAATAGGTAAGGAAAAGATGACATGGCTGTGTGGCGCTTGGAGGCGGGGGATGACCATTGGCAACACCGGCCCGCCGGGAACGCAAGCACTGAGCGGAGGCATGGTCTTGCCCCTGGTCCAAGAGCAGTTGTAGGCAGAGCAGTGATCCCAAAAAAAGAAAGCGATGCTTAAAGAGAGCATGGAGCAGTCTGGCTGCACTGGAAACCTGCTAATCCAAACCTCTCAGTAGGAAGAGTGCTATTCACTCCAGTCCAGCTTTTTTTTCTTGCTTAGCAGTTCCCAGTGAACCATCCATCATCCACACCATGTGGGTGATAGAGTCCTGGACTCTTACCACAGGCACCCAGAGCTGTGCAGTTTTGGCCACCCATTAGCTGGGTCTACAAAACGCCCTTTTCTCTAGAGAGACAATAAAGAGTTGGGCTGTAATACTCAACGCAAACCTTTAGTAATGGGTGGGTTGAATTCCCAGTCACACCAGTTAAGGCTCCCACCCCTGTCCTCCTGCTACTTCCCATCTTGCGCTGCACATGTAGCACAGGGTATGACAGCTTGTAAGGGTAGGTGAGGACAAGCTGCAAAAAGTGCCTGGGGAGAATGAAGATGGGCTGAACTAAATATGACAGATAGGTGTCATACACAAAAGCCCTCAGCCCACTGAAGGCTATCTTGAGGCTTCACTAGAGAGAGGAAGTTTAAGGGAAAGTTTTGGGGAGATTTGTGGAACCAAGATCCCTTCTCCATCCCCTAGAAGTTTTTTCTTCCCTGCTTCTGTCTGCATTCAAGGAGTTTCTGCCCCAGCCTGACCAGGCATGCAATGGAGTCCATGGTTTTCATATTTGTTGCCTCCCTTGGCATCAGTATCCACTCTAACAAGAGGACTTTTGCTGGTTGCTCTGAGCTTCCCTCAGCAGGACTCAATCCCCAAGTCAGCTGTAACCCCAATACCGTGCTTCTTTTTTTGGGGTCAGGAACAAACCAGTGGCTGACCTGCCTGGAGGACGGTCTCTGGTCACTCCCCGAAGCCTACTGCAAGCTGGAGTGCGACGCGCCTCCAGCGGTGGCCAACGCCAAGCTCCTGGTCCCGCAGTGCCTGCAGGGGAACCACGATGTGGGCTCCGTCTGTCGCTACAAGTGCAAGCCTGGATACTATGTGGCCGAGAACACAGTGGGCAAGCCTAAGAAGTAAGTCTGTGGTGGGTCTCTTATCACCGTTTCCTTCCTCCTGTTCTCTCAACATGAGCAAGGAGGAGAGGTGATGGTATGCTGGCAGTCTTGAAGAGTTGATTTGAAAAGTATAAGGCAGAGCAGTTTGCTCTGGTCATGCAGATTTCTTGAAATACAAGAGGCATTCCCCTGGTTTAGGTGAAAGCAGGTGGGAACAAGATGTAAACTGTTGTTGCACACACGTGTATGTTAAGTGCCTTAACCTAAAGCATGTGAATTTTCCCATGCATCTCAACACAGTTGTCACTTGGTGAAAATTAAGCATGTACAGAAGTGTTCATGGAGGTAATTAGATGTAATAAGATGCTGGAAGATTCCTGGAGCTGCTGTCTTTCCGAAAAGTGATAAAACATAGATCAAGGCATTGGGAGTTGTAAGAATGAATGACTGCCTTTTGTCAGGGTTAACATCTTCCCCCCTGCACATCTTGGCTAAATTTAATCTCAAGCATTCGCATTTCAATTGGAGAAGGTTTTTCCCAGTGCTTCGGGGAAAAATTCCTGGTGATTCACTAGCCCTGTGCTCAGCCAATATCGTGACACTGGGGGGTAAAGCAGCATTTTGTCTACGATGCCTCCAGCTGAAGTCCCCATTGAGTACGGTCACTAAAGATTCCCTGGCACTAGCCAGGTCCTCCCAAGAGTCTTGACGCTAGCCCAAATCAGGTAATTATGTGCTAATTTTTTAATGCCCCCTTCCAGTTTTAATTGGATGCAGACTTCATCTCTACTTTGCTCTGGGGTAGGGTGGTTGTGCACTGGGAAGCAGTTGCCAAATTTCTTGCCTCGTAATGAAGGAAGTGGTTTCTGTAAACAGCTTTTCACAGTGTTAGGAGCATTTCTTGGGCCAAGGGGAGCTGAGCAAATTATGATTATGGCTACGATCACATGGACTGCTTTGCAAACTGCAGAGCAGCTTGCGTGCCTGTGGCATTTCAGGGACTGGACGTGCAATCAGATCAACTCAGCTTGCAAAGTTAGGCCATCTCAGTAATGCTGCAGCAGCTGCTGGTAAAAAGGATGGCCTCTGGGAGTTCCTGAGGCTCCTCTGATGTGTGTGTAACTTCCCCATGGGTCTGAACAGCCTGTGAGACAAGTCAAGGAAAACCATGCAAAGTGGTTTACATTTTCATAGCAATGCACATTGACATAGCATTTTCACATTTGGTATTATCATTACTGCTAATTCATCTGACATCTTTGATGGCAGAGTATAATCCTGTTACAGTAAGCAAAAAAACATTAATAGAAACAGAAAATTCATTGCTTTCTTATCATGCAGATTAACTGCTATGCGAGTGGCCTGATTCAAAGCAAAAGCCTTCCCTTGGAAGTGTAAATGTCGGTGTACCATCTCATCTGGAGCTCTGCATATACACTCAGCATGAGTATAAACCCCTTGGCACATGTAGCGAGTAGCAGCTACTAGCCAGTAAGTGGGCCAGTCAATTGCTGGATTGCTGGAAATCTTTCTGGTATTTCAGCCCTGGCAGGCGGAGGATGGGAGCTGCTGGAGTGAGAGGTTGCTTTCTTTGTTCAGGCCAGTTTTGGAGAAGTGAGTTGTTGAAGGTGAGGCGAGCTCTGGAAGGGGCTGGTGCTCGTGGGGTGCAGGTTCCTGATGTGCTGGAGTGCAGGGTCTCAGCTGATGATTTGGACATCAGATTTTGGGGTCTTCTGAAGTCTTTCGGGGTTCAGGAAACTGTTCTTGAGCTATTGCCTCCCTGTTGTCCATCAACACAGCAAGCAGCAGCCTTGCTAAAGGATTTTCTGCTGTACAGGTGTGGATGGGCATGAAAAAGCAAGACTATGTTACTATATATTAGACAAAAGTCAGGCATGATTTACGGCTGACACTGAGGACTCCTCATGCCAGCTAACTAGCTCAACCTTGGAAATATAGTCAGGCTCCCTTTGAAATTTTCTTCTAGCTCGAGCGATCATGCCTTTTTAGAGGGGGATGTTGGAGGGAGGGTAACCCCTAGCTGCCCTCGCCAACAGCTATGTGGCTCCAACTGTTCTCCAGGGAAGGCATAGAGGCATCTTTGGGTGTCTGTGGGTTCCCAAGGGATCAGCTCGCTCTGCTACTATGTGAAAGACACACTCAACGTCTCACAGCACTGTTATAAGAAGCTTGGTCACTTCCTTCAAGGGCTGCTTGTAGGCACCTTCCTTCAGGGATGGCTTTGGATCCCCTGTGGACAGGGACAGTTAAGCTGTAATGTGAGCGAGCAGGAGTTCAACCCAGCCGGGGCTCAGCATCACCTCCTGACTAGCTGCTTTTTTGATCAGCCTTCTGCAGTGCCTTTCCCTCTCATGCACCTCGTAAAACATCACAGCTGCTACAGCTGAACTGAGGACCCAAGCTCTGGGGCTTTGCTCTGTGAGGTAGGGCTACAGTGCCCACCTTATGCAGGCCTGAGCCATGGCTGGGATCCAGCTGTCTCCATCCAAGCTGAGATGCTCTTGGACACAGATGTTCATGTGAATCCCTCACTTCTGTTTCATTAAGTGAATTTTACTGTAGGGGCAGTAAGGATGCTTAGAAGGCTCCTGCAATCTTAGTTGAAATTCATTTCCTGTAGCATAAGTGGAAGTGAAAGGGGGCAAAGAAATCCGTTGTCTCGGAGGTGCTTTTATCTGTTAACCCGGGTGAGGAAAAGCCCTTCAGAAATCACTGCTTGTCAACAAGGGATCCTTGAGGAAATGTTGATTGTATAATCAAGATCCTGCCAGAGATTTGCTGCCTTTCTGCTGGCAGGATCATCTGACTGATGATGATGACGAGAAGGGTAAAACTTCTTTGACTCTTCCTAAAGGAAATGCCTGGAGAGTTCACGTAACAGCCTGGCTTCCAGCTGCCAAGCTATTTCACATCTAACCCCAAAATAATGTTAACAAGGGTAACTTGTGCTTTGTGATGGGAGCTCTCTGGTTTTGGGCAGCATCTGTCCAATGGCAGCACCAACCCACCCACTTGGATCACAGAGAGAAATGAACTGTCAAGGAGCAATATTTGGCATTGTCCACAGCTGCAGCATTGAAAAGAACTGGCCTGAAAGTCAGAGGTCAGATGCTTTGGGGAAAATGGGCATCACCCCCGCAGTGGTCCATGCTGTTGCTTCCACTGTGAAGTGCCATCTGAAGCAGCTCTCTAACAGGAATATCTAGGACATCATTTAGAGGAGCACTCTAATGCTGAGAAGATGCTCTCAGTTTGGGGACCGAAAAGGTCAGAGCCTGCAGAGGGTTTGTTTCACTTGCCCAATGCAGGATGATTCCTTGGAGAGAAGACATTTGGGGATCTCAAAGCTACCTTTGTAAGGCGTTAAGACCCTTCTACTAGCTTGAGGGAATGAAGCAAAGAAGAAGTGGGCACCCAGGTCCTTTCAGGAAGCTTTGAAAGTCTCAGCCTGCCTTTTGACCAGAGATCAAGGGAGGACAGCACAGCTCCCTGATGAGCTTCCATGGAGATGTCAGCCCCCTCCACCTCCTCTCCCCTTTCAAACACTACAGAGACCATGAAAGAGGGAGAGGAGGCAGGGGAACGTGGAGGAGAAAATGGACAGGAAGGAGTTAGCAGACCAGGGGCTGGAAACACATCAGAAGGTTCACAGTAGGCAAAGCAGGACAGCCTAACCCCAGAGCACCGGAGTTTAGCAGGGCACCAGGACACTGTACGTTTGTGGTAGGTGGTGTGCTGACTGCTTCTGCCCATGTCTGGCCCCTTCCAGATAAGAGGCAAACACCCGCGCAGCTGAGGGAGCCAAACAGCCAGGTAAAGAAAACACAGGCTGTCAACCAGACTCCTGCGTCACTTCCACCTCTAAGGTCACTGATCAAGATTTACAGCCCAGGTTTCCCAGGCTGTTTGGAGCACAGCAGCAGAGGTCCTACAAGCTGGTGTTGCTTTCTTTCAATTTACCAGCAAATCTCCCTCCTTCCCTCCTGTTCTTTTTTTAATCTGTCAGTCTCCTGCTATGGGAGATGAGGCTTTAGGCTCATTTATCACTGTTCCTGTATGGTGGACCCAGCCCCCCCCAAGCTGGCCACCCCAGTACATGGCTGAATCCCAGCCAGGCCCCGGCATGCTCAGCTCCCAGAGCCGGGCGAGTGCTCCTGCCTTCATGTCAGATGCAGCCCTAGCTGGCTTCAGATGTCTCTCCTGCCTCCTCTACCCATTAGGCATCTGCTTGCCTGGTTGGAGGGGGAAGCTTTGACTCCGATTTTCCGGGCTTTCTTGTTAATCCTTGAGAAATACCTCTAACCCAGATCAGAAGTTGGGGGGGTCTGGAAATTTCAAGCTGTTATGAGGTTGTGCTTTTATATATATATATTTATTTTTTTATTTTATTTTATTTTATTTTAAAGCCTTACCCTTCCCTTCCCCATGCCTTAATATAAGTTGCTCTCTTCATATGTGCAACAGCGGTCCACATGCCACCTTCTACCCTGGGGTCAGCCCAGGCTAGCCCTGTTTGAAGTTCCCCAGCATGGATGATGGTGGTGGGGTGAGCCTCCAGAGCAAGGCAGTATGTCCTCCCAGGTCTGGGGAGGGTGCAGGTCTGGGGGAAGGTGGGAGAGGCCATGCATGGTGCCGGCCCCCATGCCGGCACCACTCCAGCACCACGTCAAGACAAGAAGCCCCTGTGAAGATGATAGGGCTGCAAATCACAGTGTGCACCTTGCAAATTGCAGCTCCTGCAGTGTGCCCTCCCCATGCTCAGCTGTTCTCCCCAGGTCTTCCCATGGCTCCCAGGCAGAGGGCCTCTGCTGTGATTTGGAGGAGCAACAGCGAGGTGCGGTGGATGCATTGGTTATGTTCTGGTGGCTGGTGGGGAAGTGAGAAGTAACGTGTGGCTGGGATGCTTCTCCACACTCCCAGCTTGCTCCTATTGCTGTAACGCCATCAGCTCAACCCCCAGTGATTTACCCTTACAAGTTGTACAGCTGGATCACTCCCTGCGTGCCAGGCAATTCAAGATGGGGAAAATGCTGCTTGAGGACCTGGATGTCCAACACAGAAAATGCCTCATGGCACCTGTCTCCATTTGCCTTTAAAGGTGGGCACCGCAAAGCATTCAGACAGACACAGGAGGAGGCAAGGTCTGATGGGGACATCTTCAAAAGGCAGTGACCATCATCCCAGTGGATGATTAGGGGTGGGCTGAAACCACAGATGCCCACAATGGGATCCAGAGTTGCTCTTCCTCACCACCCTTACAAAATCTTATGTAGTTGCAGTTCTTTTCAGTCAATTCAAGGCTACTGTTCTTGGGGTGACTTTGCCAGACCAGTTGCCGCTCAGATGCTCACACCACGGCAGCCCGTGTTCCTAGCATGGTCTTGTGGGAAGATACTGTGCAGAGCTCTGTGCCAGGGGACCTGCCATGTCCGCTCCTCTGCCTGCCTCCACATCACCTGCTGAAGCCTGAATTCACCACAGCAGGAACCCACTGCCTCCCTTATACAGTCTTTAGGGAAAACAGATCTCTGATTTCTGAAGGAAGAAGGGGAATCTGTAAGAGCCGTAAATACTTAAAAAGATGAGAATGTTTCAAAAAGCTCTCAAATTTCCCATCCAGGAGTTCCCAGCAGAAATGTGATAGGGATGGCCACCAGCTCCTGCTCCAGGTCTGGCAGTGGGGGTGCAAATGGGGTCCCCTTGCCTCTCCGGGCTGCGTGACCCCGCACCGTGTGTTGGGGGGCAGCTGGGTGGCCCCACGCGATGTCTGCTGCTGCTCAGAGCAACAGGCAATTTAGTGCCTGCCCCCAGGGGTTTCTCCAACCCAGTTAAACCACCCTCCGCATACCTGCAGCATGCTATAAACTCCATAATGTGCACCCGGAGCCCTGCCTGCTGGCACTGGTGGTGGGAGAGGGCAGGGGCAAGAAGCTGGAGCAGGCTGTCTAGTAAAGAAGCACAGGAGGGGGGGAGTGGCAGGGGGGTGGAAAGCCTTGTTAAGGATGGAGCAATCAGCACTGGCTCAGGTAAAGCCCATCAGTGCTGTCAAAACCTATGTGTCAAAGTCTGGGGTTGCGATGACGTGTCCTCTTCTGGGAGAGCGGTCCCCAGCCAGCCAGATGCCTTGTGGGGTTTTGATGCCTCTGTGTAAAAGATGCGATGTCTATATTGCTGCCAAGGACAGGAGACTGAAAAGCGGGTGGACTTTGCTTTCTTTTTTCACTGTTTTTTTGGCAAGTAGTTTGCGCCTGGGCTGTTTTAGCAGCACAAGATGGTATTGGTCTGCTGCAGAATGACAGCTCCACGGCGAGAGCGGGATTGACAGATCTGGCTGGAGTACAAAGAGGAGCCTCAGGAGTAGCTGGGCACAGGCCAGCAGGATTTACTGGTGGAGGCTCACTCCATCCAGCAAAGTATGTAGCTACTGGCGGTGGGACAAGGCAGTCTAGGACCCGCAGGGGCTGCGGGGCAGAGAGGAATGGTTTAGAGGTACCATGAGAGGTGGGGAGCAACGGGGTGGTGAGTGCAAGGAAAAAGTATCCAGTGATCCTAAATCAGTGCGATCCCCCCAGCGAGGGGAAAAAGGTCTTGGTTGAGCGTGGGCTGTCCCTTTGGGAGAATCTGCCTATGGCGAGGGGTGGGATGGCATGGGAAAGCCCCACGCAGGGGGGCTTGGTTGTGCTCCAGGAGAGATGTCTCTAGGCTGCTCCTGCCTCTGTGGGATGCTTGGTCCAGCCAAGGTGGGGTTTGTTTGGGGTGCCGCAGCCCGCTCTGGCATCTGTGTTTCCCCAGGAAGTTCCTGAAGGTCCAGTGCCTGGAGAGTGGGCAGTGGGAAGAGGGCCACTGCGTCCCCGTGGTGTGTGAGCCCCCCCCTCCCGTCTTCGAGGGCATGTACAACTGCACCCACGGCTTTGAGCTGGACAGCCGGTGCGTCCTCAACTGTGAGCCGCAGGGGCAACAGGTGAGTGACTTGGGGGAGATGCAGAGACTGGCCGAGCGTTGTGCTTCAGAGCACCTGAGAACAGCAGAGCTCCCCGTGCCCGGCTGTGCAGAGGGACCACACAGCAGCTTGGCTAAATGCCCTTGTACCACCAAACAGCTGCAAACCTAAAGCTTTTCTTGCTGCATACCAACCATGGCCCAGGGTGCATCACTACCTGCTCTCCTGCTCCCTGGTGACCCTTCCAAAAAGTCGTGGTCCTAAGTAAGCCTGCTTGTCTTGAGTGAAAAGGGTGGGAAAGCAGCAGTAGAGGGTTTCCAGCAGGTTTGGGTTGCTGCTGTGAATGCTGCCGGGATGAAGGGCAACCTTGCTGCAGCAGGCTTGCTACCCAAAGGGCTTGCCTGGGGATGGAGGCTGCTGCCTGCCAGGCTTTTCCACCCAGGTTTCACATCCAACCTGCTGGAAGGGTCTTGTCAGTAGAAGTGTGGTCGATTCCCTCTGGTGGGATCTAGGAGCAGCTGGAAAACAATTTGCTTTCTGGTCAGTAGTGCAAAGCATACATAGGCTGGACTACATGGCTGCAACCCAGCTGCCCTGGAGAACTTCCCTCTGGACCTCACTAGCAGGAGGGGGGTCCTTGTATTGTGCTCCCACCCCTAGAGCTGGGCAGTGGCCAGGCAGGGTGAGCCTTGCCCTGCCAGTAGTAACACCGGCTGCTCTCCCTCTGCTTTGCAGGTTCCCATCATCTGCACCAAGGAGGGCTTATGGACAGAGGAGTTCAAACTGTGTGAGAGCTTATGGGGCACCTGCCTGCCACCCCCGGAGCTGAATTTCGTGGAGTACAAGTGCGAGCAGGGACACGGCATAGGTGAGGGCAGAGAAAAGCTAAACAGAAAAACAAACCTTATGTTGACTCAGTTCTCCCAGAATGCTGAAGGTCACAATGACTCTTCTTATACCAATCCCCACTAAATCTGTGAAAAAAAAATTCCTGTTTTCTCTTCCATCCTTTTTCTAAACACAGAGCCAGCGCGGCTTTAGCCTTGTGCATGCTCTGGTTGTACTCATGGGCAAGACTTAAAGCTAAAGCTAGCTCCAGTGCAAGCATCTCTTTTTTTCAGAAGTAGCAGGGTCTCATCTCTAGGGCAAACCCAGCCCTTTGCAGTAGTTTTCCTAATGTCTAGCCCTCCATCCCCCGCAAGGTCTCTCCACTTGTTACTACTGCTGACATTTGCAGGGTTAATGTGGCAGGTCCTAGATAAAAGCCACAGTGACAATCGTGTGTAACAGGGCACTTTCACCAGATGAGGGACCACATCATCCATTTCTTTCTCCCGGACTTGGTCGCTTTGTGCATTCAGGAAAAGCTGCAATGCTCAGTCACAGTCTTTGCATCTCATCTGGCATCCCGCTGGACAGGATGCTTGAGCAAAGCCCGTATCACTCTGAAGCAAACACACCAGTCGTCCAGGTCTCATGAAAACAGGCTGAGGCAAGTCTAAGGGCAGGGCCTGCTAAGGTTAAGCTTTGGAGAGACTTGATGTGAGGCTGGGGTTAGGGCTGGGATCCACCTGGTTTTCCAAGGTGGTTTCCTGGGTCATAGGAAGGCAGTGGGAATTCAGTGTGGTAAAAAAACTACGGAAGATGCTTTCTAACTTGTCAACAAATATCTTATGGCATCTGGCCAGACTTATTTTCATGCTGGATCCCACGTCCTGTCCTCAGGGCTTGAATCTATGTCTTAAGGCATGTTCAATTTTCCTCTCATCTGAGAGAAGGGAATTGGCCACAGCTCCTGTAGGCTGTTGCATAATTCAGGATGTGGGGAAGGAATTGTCATCCCAGGTTGGGAGGAAAAGGGTCTCCTCTATGTCCACCTCTACCCTTAGTGAGGAGCCTACACGTTTGGGTCTGGTGCCCTCCTGTAAAACATCATTGCCTGGTTCCTGATGAAGTCCTCAAGGCTCACTGTCCTCCTGCAGGTGCTGTGTGCATACCCTCCTGTATTATACCTCCCAGTGACCCTGTCATCCTGCCCGAAAATGTAACTGCTGAGACTATGGATCACCGTCTGCAGCCCACCAGAGTCCAGGTAAACGGGAAGATGGATTCCTCTAGCAGGGGGTTCACTAGCAGCATAGATGGGAGCCCCCTCTTCTCTACCTGGTGTTTTTTAACTGAAGTCTCTTTGCCTTGGGTGAAGAATGGTAAGACTTGGAAAGATAAGCACCATAAGTGAGCTCATGGCTGGCTGGCCCTCTCCAAGGAGCTGCCCAGGCTGCAAGCTCTCGAGGTACCTGCTGCTCCCCATAACCAGGTTCCAGTGCCAAGGTCCTCCTTCCTCCCACCACTTCTTTCCCCTCTTCCCTCCCTTGTGGATGCTACTGAATAGCCTCCTGCTCTCCCATACCAAAGTTCAGCATAAGTTATCAGCTCGTAAGCCAGCTTTCAAGGACTTGCAGGATACCACAATGAACGAAGTTAAGTGCAGGAATCCCACTGATTTTTCAGGACATGCTGCATGCCTAAACATGCTAAGCTGCTGTTAGTCAGCCAGTGGGCTGGGAGAGTAAAAGCCGCCCCTGGCACAGTGTGAGCCTGGGTCCCCGAATACCTGCCAGCAGAGATGCAACCCCAGGCAGGCATCTCCCTGCCAGGGAGGAAGCAGGGCACTGTCAGCTGAAAGGTGTCTCAGGCTGCCAGGATCCGCTGGCCGGCTGGTTGCCTCTGCTGCTGGAAGAGGGGAGCCTTTTCCTCCCCATCTCTTACTCATTTTGTAGGCAAAACAGCTCAAATAGCTCAAATAGTTTGGATCCTCAAATAGTTTGGATCCTCATGGCACGACTTTCCCAAAAAGCAGCTCCGTCGGGGGAATATTTCTTAAAATAAAAACGAGATGCATACGGAAGGAGGTGGAACAAAGAAAAGCAAACAATCTTCCCAGGAGCCAGTGCTCCCATCTAAATGCTTTCCCCTCCTCCTGGGAACCCGCAGGAGGCCCAGCATCATGCTTGTGGATACTACTGTACGTCGCCTTGAATCAGACCTATGACAGATCGCTGCCGGGGGTTGAGGATGGCCGGGGCGTGTGGGATGGTTAAGCACGAGCCTTGGAAGGAGTCCTTGCCTTTGAGGGATTGGATGGCTTGGCCTGTTCAGGCAGTGGCGTTCGGCTTCCCTTTCGCTGCTGCTGTGGGCTCTCGTGCAAGAGAGGCATTTTGCAGAGAGGAGGAGGAGGGAGGGGAGGTGTTATTTTAAGAAACAGCGCTCCCCTTTGCCAGGATCTCTCTCCCTGGACCGTCTTGTTTTCCTCTCTGTCCTGGCTCCTGCCTCTGCTCCCCGCTTTGCTCCTCCAAGCCTCCAACAGCTTGCCATTCCTGGGAGCTGCCGTGATCCTGAGGTGATGGAGAGGATGGGGCAAACCAGGCAGGGAGCTGCAGAGGCCACTCGAGGAGGGCACGGTCCTGTTTTGCTTTCAGCTCTGATTCATTGTGTCCCACAGACGAGCAGGTTTGTCCCTCTGCCCTCATTTCCCAGCCAGGAATACAAATATACTAATATGAGTATGCTAAGATGCCATTCAAGTTGAACAACAACCACATATGAAACACCCCAGTCGGGTTAGGATGCAAACCTCCTCTGGGCTGAGCAGGAATTGGCTAGCTCAGCCAGCACCCCCAGCCTCTGCCCCATCTGATGGAGGCTCCCTCCAGGTCTGCCTTCCCTGCACTGGCTAAGGATGGCCAGGACCTCATCCTGCCCCAGCCCCGTCATGGTCTTGACCGAACATGCAGCAGAAGGACCTGCAGCAGGTCGGCGTGGGCAGAGCTGCCCTATCCCCAGCTGCCGTGCCACATGGGAATGCTGGAGCCAGTCTGCCTGCTGCTGTGCATTTCAAATGGGAGGCTAGGAGAAAACATATGAGCTGCCCCTCTGTGCAGCTCCCACGCTATGAAGGGCATCCTAGGACACTTTCGCAGGCCAACCATCATTTTATGGGGCCTCAGATTTCAAAGTCTGCCTGAGCTTTACAAGGAGGAAATCGCATGTGCGGTGGGGCTTTTCTTCCCCCTGTATAATCATAAGTGCTCCCCACAAACCCCTGCTGAATGAGCGGGACAACGCGTTCCAGCACAATGAAACCGAGCCCTTTGCATCTTGCTCTTGTGTCCAGTTGGCTGCAACAGCTGAGTTCGTGCCTCATAAATACCAACAATAACCTCAGCCCCGTGAGTGAACATGAGTCTGGGGAGGTGAGTCCTCCCGGGACCTGGTTCTCGGAGCCTGAGCAGGGGTCAATAAGCAAACTGATGCAGGCACTGAGTGATGACCAGCTGAGGCCCCCATCCCGAGCAAGAAGCTGGTGAATCCAACATCACACAGAGAGGTGATGGCAGACTCAGCCTGTCATGGCACTGGGTGGCTTCCTCCCAGCAGCAGCTTGTGGCCAAGTCAGTCACCATGAGGTGGTACTGCCAGCCAAGCCCCACTTCTCTGGTGATCCCTGCCATCTCCCTTTGTCCTCTCTCAGTGCGTATCTATATAAGTCTACATACAGACACACACGTGTCTGTCTAGCTTCTGCTTTGAACAATGTACCCTGGTTTGTGGGTGAACCAGGTGCAGCTGCTTTGGGTTTGATGGGCTTCAAAGGGTTTCCCACTGGGCAGAGGTGCAGGGAGGGTCCTGGGGGTGCCACTGCTGTTCTGCACCGTGACGAGCAACGCAGCTTTGTGGAAGACCCTCTACCTCCAGAAAGCATTGGTGGCTGTTGCCCTCCCTCTGCCACCTTGCCTTACTGCTCTTTTCTCCTTCCCTCCTCAGCATATTGTGTGCACAGGCAGGCTGCGATGGTATCCAGACCCCTCTGTCATTCACTGCATCCAGTCGTGCGAGGTAAGCCCCCCTGCCCCCAGCACGAGCTGCCTGCTCCTTGCAGGAGAGCTCCTGGCAATGAAGGCTCCAGCACAAAGCCGGATGGCTTTGACTTCGTGTTTGCTCCGAGCTGGGCCGGGGCTTGCTGGCTGAGCAGAAAGACCAGAGCAAGCATCCTTGGGTATGGTCCCCCACAGCCAGGGCGGTACTGGGGAACGATTGCTGCAGAATAACCCACTTCCTTCCTTGCCTGCTTCTTCTTGGCCAGCCTGGGAAGAATGTTCTAGCAAAAGGATTTCACTGGCAAGGGGTATCCCCAAAAAGCCCGTGCTGACTCCAAGCCTGAATATTTCCTTAACCAGAACTGCAGTTCTAGAGTAACGCGGATCCAGAAAAGCCCTGCGTGACTCACGCGTCCAACCAAAACAGCTAGGATTTCCAGCCTCGTATATGCAAAACAAACCGCTCCTGAAGAATCTGCAGACAAAGAATTCCTTGCAGAAATTGGTTAGCCACTCATTTCATTTTGAATAATGACCAGGCAGGAGAAAATCATAGGCAGCCTGGAGTCAGTTCACAAAGGAAATTAAAAATAGGCAGTCTTTGTCAAGCACTAGTTGTTATTATGATTGAGGATAAAAGGAAAACGGGGGGTGTATTTTGGAATGTTGTATGTGAAAATTTTGGATTTTTACCAAAAAGAAAAATGTAAATGAAGCTTGCACACCAAAAATAGCTTTGGGGTTTGCTGATATTTCTTTTATGTGCTCATTTCAATGCAGATGATCGCTTTTGCTCACCGATTCTGCCTAGCTCAGCTCTTTGTCAACTGAACTGTGGGAGAGAGGGTGATGTTGCAGGGGGCACGTCCCCGGGAAGGAAATGTTATGGTCAACAGAAGGTGCAGCAGTTATTTCCCAAACTCAGTGGCTGTGTTGTGCGTCTCTACTGCAAGACATGGGCTGCAAGGGGAATGATGTGCTGTGTGCTAGAGAGGTGTTTGATGGTTGAGTACCAGAGCTTAGCAATGGATCCTCTGGTGTTTTGGGAGCTCCAGGTCTTTCTAACCCACATCTTTTAGCTCAGCTCTGGGGCAATGTATTTGAAGTAGGATGGACTTATGTGGAAGAGCAGTCCAGATGGTTGTGGTGATCGTCTCTGCGGTTCTCCTGCTATCAAGGGAGAACTGCTCCTTGTGCTCTCTGGGAGTTGGTCCTTCCAAAAAAGAAACAAATGGGGTATGAGGTGCTCCTTCTTCCCTTCCTGTGCAGCTCAGGTGAGAGAAAGCTGACACAGGCATGAGGTGAGGTAAGGTACACCAGACCGACCCCAGCCTTTCCTTTTCTATGGTTCCTGCACTTCACCTTGTGTCTGTGTCTTCAGCAAGAGATCCCATAGGGAATGATGAAAAATGCCAGCTTATTCGTGTGTGTGTGTGCGCGTGTGTGAGAGAGAGATAGGGTCCAACTACCTGAAGTCCCAGCATCTCACAGTAACAGTCACTGTCTTCTCATTGCCACCTAGACATGCTCACAGCCAACATTACCTCTTTCTGTTCCTGGATGCTTGTCATCCCCTTTTACTCTTAGAAAGAAATCCTAGACAGCAGTTTTAGTATACAGGAACTTAAGCAAGCCAAAATCTTGCAGTGTCCTACCAAAACATGGAGACTCCATGCTCTTCATTACCCTTGTAGACTTTTTAATGCCTTTTCTGCTTTCAATTAATCTTTCATCAGGAATGAACAAGCAGTACATACTCTTCCAGCTGAGGTCTCACCAAAGCCCTGCACAAAGCTTCCTTGTGCTGGAAATGTCTCTTTTGATAGGACCCAGGACTTTATCTGTTATTTCTGCAGTTGCGTCTGTCTGGCAGCTCAGAGATATCCTGAGGTCAGCAAGTACGCCCAGATCTTTCTCTACCTCCTTTGTTTCCAACTGATGAACTCCAAGCTAACAGCAGATGTTTTACCATCAGTACAAGAGCTCACCCTTCAATTTTATACAAGTGAATGTCATCCTGTTTCTCTCTCTAGTTCTTTGGGTCATCTAACTATTTGTCAGATATCCTGATCCTCCTCTGTGGAACAATGCCTTCTTCCTCATTAGTTTCATCATCACAGGCCTATTTTTAAGGTCACAGTCACTCACTGTAATACTAATGAAGATTCATCCTCAGATAGTTTCTTTCACCCTGATGTTCTCCTTTTTGATACAGCTCACAGCTGCCTCCTCCCTATTCTCCTCCTCCTCACTTCTCACATGTCTTTCATTATTCTTTTCATTGGGTTTTCTTCTACAATGCTGCAGGCTGTTAAGGTTGGACTGATAAGCCAAGTCTTCCTAGATAACTTTTTTTCACATCTGTTTTATAGTAGTCATTGTCTTGCCATAAAGAATAACTCTTAACCAAAAGCGTCTCGTTCAAAGTATTGCTCTGGGAGCTGCTGCTCAGCACTGGGAAGAAGGAAGGTGTTACCAGTCCCCCCTTTTTACCACAGAAAACGCCCTGAATGTTGTTTCTGCTTCATCTGTGCTGGCTTCCATCCTCATTTCTATTCTTCTCCTGCTTCTGTCCTTGTGACCAAAAGCACTGCAGTTCTCAGAGGCCATTTCACTTGGGACCCAATCTCTTGTGGGATGTGGGGACATCAGACAGCAAGAGTTGGGTAGAGATGGAATATAATGTGTAATCTGTCCTTGCTGTGTGGTGCCCCCCACCCCCATCTCCTTTGCATGTTCTCCCCTTCATTTGTCTGCACAAGAAATGTTCTGCCCCTGCAGAACATAGCCCCTGCTGGTTCTGACATGGTTCAGCTTGACTTGCCATGTCCATGGGACATCTTAGTCCCAGGTTCCTCCTCATTTCACAGTAATCCCTCACTGGAGGTACCTCCTTTAGGAGCTCAGCCTCTGCTCTCCATTGGGCAGGGACATGCTGTTCCAGTGGACTGTCCAGGTCACCTCAGGTCTGAGTAGCCCCTCGGAGATGCCATTGTCTGTCCACTGACTGCTGAGCCGGTGTTGAATGAAGCAGCTTTCTCATCTGGATGCCTCAGTGAGGAGAACAACCCTACATAAGAGAAATCCAGGCCTCCTGGCTGCTCGTACTGTTTCTCCTTGGTGGAGGCACTTAAGGCTGGGGCATGCCGGCAGTAGCCAAGCCTCAACCTTCCCAGCCCCAGCTGGACCCCTGCCTCACATTGGAAAGTTCAGGTCACCACGTAATGGTGTTAGAGGGATTCTCGCTCATCTTTATCGTATACTGGCAGCGGATCAGCCCGCCTGCTCATCCCTCTCACTCCTCTCCCCACCTCCCTTCTCTTTCCATTAATCTGGTCGTCCGTCTGCCTCCTGGTCTCTCGCTGCACCTTGCCAAGTTCCTCATCCCTGGAGCAGGGAGGCACGTAGTTCAGCGGGCAAGGGAGGGAGGGAGGGATGCAAACCTTTCCAGGAGCCTGTCAGGAATACAAGTTAGCACCGAGTGTGCTTTGCCTCTCAAGGGCCAGCAGAACATCTCCTCCCCTGCCATCAGTAGAAAAACAGATGGCAGCATGGGGGAGGTGGGGGGAGAGAGGAGGGGGCTTGGGGCTGAGTGGACAGGGGAGCGGAGGAGGACAGAAACCCCTCCTCCCTGCTGTGGTTTGGGAGAAGGCGGTCATGGTCCTGGTAGTGTGCTCAGCTGCTGTGAGGGAGGGGTTTGCAGCATCTGGGGCAGGTCCTCCTAAGCCATCCCGAGGTGGCCACCTCTCAGCTATCCTCCTCCTGTGCCCAAGAGCAAGTGAGGCTGTTGACTTCAGAGAAGACAGCATGTACAGTGATCCAGGTTGCTCCCTTGGATTATTCCTGCCATGGTGCAAAATAGTCCATGCATGAGTGTAGCTGCTATAAAGCATCTCCTAGTCTGTGCAACTCACTAGCTCTGCACCCCACTATCTCCCACCACAGTGGCTCTGTGGTTCACACTGTGGCTGTGGTTTAGGTGAAAAAGTTTGCTTATTTTATCATCATTATGTTTACCCAGTGTTACTCACAGGATGGAGTAACCATCACTGTCCTGCTCAAATACCCTCAGAGGAAGGCAAGCTGCTCTTCCAGCGATCTCAGTGAACGTGGGCAGGCTCTTCTGGGCAGCCTATACATTGTGGAACATGCTGACCTCGCCCCCACCTCCAGCTCTGTTTCATTATTGCATGCAGGTAGCAAAGGGTTAATTGCAAGGGATTTAAAAGAGCCTGCTTTGGACAGACCACAGGGAGGCAGAGCTTCATACTGGTATGGTAGGAGCTGGACAAGAGCTACTACAGCTGTGGTCTGCCTTGTAGGGTAGTAATTCCCTCCTGATACAACTCGGTGTCTCTCTGGTTGCGGCTGGCTCTGCTGTGCTTTGCTCTGAGCAGCCCCGCCTGCACGCTGGAGGAACATGCAAAGACTTTGGCTTGAGGTCTCTGCCTCACACCCTGGGTGAAGATGGGCCATACCAGAAAGCTGTCGTGAGCATGAGCTGCTAGGAATTTCTCAGGTCTTGCCTGCATGAGGACAAGGTCTCACTGCCCTTGTGCGTGCTGCTGGTCATGTTATCACAATCGTAAAACACTAATCCGTTGCCTGTTTTGTGATTTTCCTGAGATATTACAATGGAAATTATGAGACAGGGATTGAAGCATGTTTGTGGTTGCAAGTTGTTCTCGAGTCTCTCGATCCAATAGGTAGTCGAGGACCCCAATGGATCCTTGGCTCTTCACGCCAGCATGCACAAAACCCTCACTCAGCACGTATGTGGCTTGTGTCCAGCATTTGTCAGCTAGAATTAACCCCTTTGAAGTCATATGCAATAGGGACAGTGGGAAGCCTCATCTAAAATCAGGGTTCTGCTGTGCTTTAATGTGACGGGAGACAGGGTGCGACTCGCTCCCCGGGCAAAGCGCTGCAGCTGGAGTCCAGCTGCAGGCAGCTGCCTGTGCTCCTCGCTGCCAGTGGGGCTGGGGGCCCCTGAGTGTCCCTTCTCCCAGACCTGGGTGC